TGGAAGAAAAAAAAGGCTAAAAATTTTACTTTATAAATTTTGATGGGGGTCTAAGGGCAATGATGATGATGCTAATGATAACGTCAACACGAAACAAATCTTTCTTTTACTCAAAATGTTTTTCAATTCCTGGAATTTTTTTTTCTCATTGGGGAGGTTAAATATTTGATTTGGTTGGGTTAGCATTAGCAGTAGCATTAGTGGACTTGGCAAACAGTGCAGAACAAGACAAACCAGGCTGAGTTAATGTCGTAGCCACGCCTCTATTTAAAGAGGCACTATTAGGCGTTCTTTTCTAACGATACTGCCACCTGTGGACAAATTGCAGAACTGCAACTCTCACCTGCTTCTTCTCATAGCTCATATTTGACATCTTTTTTTTGTATTTCACATTATATGGATTTGCCATTGGTGTCTGAGTTGAGCTGGATGCCAGTCGCTCCTGATGCCAGTCAGACTGACTCCCCACTCTGCGCCATAGGCTACAGGCTTATAGGAGCATTGGCGCTGAACTACTGAGGTGTCAGTCTGCTTTTCAAACGAGATTTTAGACATAAAGGCTCAAATAAAGTGTTTATTTAAAGATATTTGTAGGTATAAACAAACATAATGTCTCATTTCCCACTGAAAATAGCAGGTAATCCCGTGTTTTTCTTAAACATGTTTTAACCTGCTTACAATCAGCGTTTGGCTTCTTTCCCACTGGCTAATAAAGCCAGTCTAACCCCCCACTGGCAGCTGTGTGGCATCTGTCCCCCCGCCACTTCGTGTCTCTTGACACCATCATGCTAGGTTAGCATTAATGATGTCACCAGTGCAACATATATCAGGGACATAAACAATGGAGAGCAACATGGAAGGAAGCCAGGGCGTAGTCAGTGAGTTTTATTGTTTCTCCCTATTATCAGTTTGAATCCCTCTCACCAGAGCTGCTCCATGTTTATCGAATGTAAACAGAGATGTTTCTGCTTGTTAGATCAGAAGTGACTGGCGCGGTGTGTTGACGTCCGTACGTTGCGTTCAATGGTTTCATGTAATTTAGTGGGTCAACCCAGCTTTCCACAGCATGCCGATCAGAGCCGAGGATATTTTAACGTGGGTCGCTTGCTGAGTCATTTGACCCA